TCTGGATCCTCAAATCCACCGTGGCCGCCATCATCTTCCTCGTCATGGTAATCCCATCCTTGCTCCAAAGGCTTTCTTTGGGATTTAATGGAATTTTTGGCATGGTTCCACCATAGCCAACATCATGGTAATCCCATCCTTGACACAAAGGGTTTATTTGGGATTTTTGGTGTGGTCCCACCATGGCCGCCATCATCTTCCCTGTCATGGTAATTCCATCCTTGGTACAAAGGGTTTTTTGGGATTTAAGGGGTTTTTGGCTTGGTGGTCACCACCAGATCTTGGCTTGAGATGCTCCTGGACCTCTCCCCTGTCAGATCTTGGCCCTGATCCTGGTGAGGCGGCTCCTGGATTTCGTCTTCTCCCAGCACGACCTGGCCTGGATCGACAACATCATCCCTGAGAAGGAGAAGAAGAAGGAGGATGACAAGAAGAAGAAGAAGAAAGGCAACAAAGGCGACAGCAGCAGCGACGAGGAGGTGAGCACAGGGTCACCAGGGGCTCCCCAGGACAGCGGGGACATCCCAGAGCTGGGGAGGGACAATTCCCACTGGGAATTGGGATGAAGGATTGGATTCCTGGTGGGATTCTGGCCCAGGAAAGGCAGAAGTGGTGATTTTGGTCCCAGAAAGGCAGAATTGATGATTTTGGCCCAGGATGCAGCGGGGTCCCAGGAGGATTTTTGGGGTCACCTGGGGAGGGTTTCAGCTGCGTGTCCCCCCAGGAAAGAGGGCCTCCACCTGGAGCTCTGCGTTCCGACTCCTCCCCGAACGGCTCGGACATGGATCGCAGGTAACCGGGACCCCTCCCCATCCCCATCCCGGGGGGGAACTTTGGGATCCTCCCGGCTGCTGCTCCAATCCATAAAAAGCTCCAAGTCTCCAGGCAGCAGCAGCCCCGGGGGGGTTTGGGGCGGGTTTGGGGCAGGGGCAGCCCCCCGGCTGCTCACCCCCCTCTCCCTGCTGCCCCCAGCATCACCCTGCACCTGAAGATCTCGTGCCCGTCGTCGCCCGCCTTTAACTACTCCCGCAGCCCCCTCTGCGCCGTGCCCCAGGTGAAGATCGAGATGGAGTCGGACTACGAGGACAGCGACACCGAGAAGGCCCCGCGGGACATGGGCAGCGAGACCACGCTATAGCCCCCGCCCGCGGGACCCTCCCTAATTTACACCTGGACAGGCAGACAGCGCCGCGCTCGTGTACGGAGAGGGAAACGGGGCGGGACGCGCCCCACGCAGGCGGCCCCGGCGGCTCTCAGGGTCCCACACCCCGCTGCATTTCAGGGTCCTGAACCCCAGTGGATTTCAGGGTCCTGCACCCCGGTGCATTTCAGGGTCCCGCACCCCGGTGCATTTCAGGGTCCTGAACTCTGATGCATTTCAGGGTCCTGCACCCCGGTGCATTTCAGGGTCCTGCACCCCGGTGCATTTCAGTCCCACACCCTCGTGCATTTTAGGGTCCTGCACCCCGGTGGATTTCAGGGTCATAAACCCCAGTGGATTTTAGGGTCTTGCGCCCCAGTGGGTTTTAGGGTCGCACGCCCTGGCAGATTTTAGGGTGGCGTGCTCCAGAATTCCCTCTCTTCCCACTGGGCAAAGGCAACGCCGCTGGCGGCAAAACGGGGCCGGAAAGGTGGGATCGGTGATTTTGGCACAGGAGAGGTGGAAATGGTGATTTTGGCACAGGAAGGAGGAAGCACCTGGGATGGGGAGGAGAAGGAAGAAGAACAGAAGGATGGGGATGAAGAAGAGGAAGCTCCTGGGATGAGGAGGAGGAGGCAGGATGGAGAGGAGCCGGTGCCCGGGGAGGGAAGGGAAGGAGGAGCAGCTCAGGGGGAAGGGCTTTGCCACTTGAGGGCAACAACTGTGCAGTGAATGGGGCCTTGGCTCCTGCAGGGATCAGGAACAGTCCCTGAGGGAACTGGGAATGGTTTGTGATTGGAGTCAGGAATGGTTCCTGGAGGAGACGGGAGTGGTTTCTGCAGAGAACTGGGAATGGTTCCTGAGGGAGTCAGGGATGGTTCCTGAAGGAGTCAGGGATGGTTCCTGAGGGAATTGGGAATGGTTCCTGAGGGAGTCAGGGATGGTTCCTGAGGGAATCCAGGCTGGTTTCCACAGGGAAATGGGAACAGTGGCTGCAGTGAAGCCCTTTGGTCGCCCACCCCACATCCCCACCCCTCACCTGTGCCAGGAACAGCCCCACCCCCCCTGCAGCCCTTCCCTCCCCGGAGGAGCCCCTGATGGGGACTCCAAGGATCCTCCCTGGAGGATCCTGCCTGGAGGAACCCTGGGATTCCCTCTGGCTCTGCCTCCCAGGGGCTCCATTCCCACCCCAGCACCAGGAGCAGGGGGGAGCAGCCCCTGCCCCCAGTGCTCCCAGTTGCACCCAGCAGCTCCTCCCAGTGCCCAGCAGCGTTTTGGGGTCCCCAGGGGGCTCTTCCCACCCGGGTGGGGATCCAGGCTCCCTCCAACTCTTCCCAGCCCTGCTGAGGCTTTAAAGGATTTGGATTTTTCTCCACCCAGGCCCAGGTCCAGGCCTGGTTTAGGAACGCTGGTCCCAACACCCCAGAATCGATTTTTTCTCATTTTTTCTGGGTGAATCCTTCAGGTTTTTCCCTCCCAGAGCCCCCAGGCCCTTCCCGTGGGCAGGACCGACCTGACACTGACACCAGCAGCACTGGGGCTCTGCTGGGACCCCAGTGACACCAGTGGGACCCCAGTGACACCAGTGGGACCCCAGTGACACCTTGTACACAGCACACCAGTTCAACACTGGGACACCAGTGACACATTTTAACTGGGACCCCAGTCAAACACTGTACATAGGACCCCAGTTCAACACTGGGACTGGGACCCCAGTGAGACATGACTGCAACTGGGATCCCAGTTCAACACTGGGACCCCAGTGACACACTGTACATAGGACAGCAGTGACACCAGTTCAGCCCTGTAGCTGGGCACCAGTTAAACCTGCAAACGAGACACCAGTGGCACCAGCTCTGCCCTGGCACTGGTGTGCTCCTGACCCCTGTAAATACCCACATCCCCAGACTCCAAGGCTGTTCCTGTTTATGGCATTTCTCGTTCTGGCTCTGCCGCAGCTCTGGGGACTCGTGGCAGTGCCCAAACCCTGCCCTGGCAGTGCCAAACCCGGCCCTGGCAGTGCCCAAACCCGGCCCTGGCAGTGCCCAAACCCTGCCTTGGCAGTGCCCAAACCCGGCCCTGGCAGTGCCAAACCCTGCCCTGGGAACATCCAAACCCTGCCCTGGCAGTGCCAAACCCGGCCCTGGCAGTGCCCAACTCCTCCTGTAGCTCCAGGCAGGTTTAAGGTTTTAATCCTGGTTTAATTCCTCCCCTGCAGCCCAGGGCTCCGGGCAGGTTTAAGGTTTAATCCCGGCTCTGGGGCTGGGGGGCAGAGCCAGTCTGGGCTCTGGGCTGGGTTTGTCCCCCTGGGCTCTGGGCTGGGCTCAATCTGTCCCTCTGGGCCGGGCTCAGTCTGTCCCTCTGGGCTGGGCTGGGTTTGTCCCTCTGGGCTCAGTTTGTCCCTGTGGGCTCAGTCTGTCCAGACTCCAAGGCTGTTCCTGTTTATGGCATTTCTCGTTCTGGCTCTGCCGCAGCTCTGGGGACTCGTGGCAGTGCCCAAACCCTGCCCTGGCAGTGCCAAACCCTGCCCTGGCAGTGCCCAAACCCTGCCCTGGCAGTGCCAAACCCTGCCTTGGCAGTGCCCAAACCCGGCCCTGGCAGTGCCCAACTCCTCCTGTAGCTCCAGGCAGGTTTAAGGTTTTAATCCTGGTTTAATTCCTCCCCTGCAGCCCAGGGCTCCGGGCAGGTTTAAGGTTTAATCCCGGCTCTGGGGCTGGGGGGCAGAGCCAGTCTGGGCTCTGGGCTGGGCTCAGTTTGTCCCCCTGGGCTGGGTTTGTCCCCCTGGGCTCAGTCTGTCCCTCTGGGCCGGGCTCAGTCTGTCCCTTTAGGCACTGGGCTGGGTCTGTCCCCCTGGGCTGGGCTCAGTCTGTCCCTCTAGGCTGGGTTTGTCCCTCTGGGCTCTGGGCTGGGCTCAATCTGTCCCTCTGGGCCGGGCTCAGTCTGTCCCTCTGGGCTCGGTCTGTCCCTCTGGGCCGGGCTCAGTCCGTCCCTTTAGGCCGGGCTCAGTCTGTCCCTCTGGGCCGGGCTCAGTCTGTCCCTCTGGGCTCAGTCTGTCCCTTTAGGCCGGGCTCAGTCTGTCCCTCTAGGCTGGGCTCAGTCTGTCCCTCTAGGCCGGGCTGCCCCGGGGTTTTGGGGTCTCTGGCCCAGCTCTCGGCCCCACTGCCCCAGGCTGGATTTGAGCACAACCCCAATAAAAATCTCCTTCCCAAGCCCCAGCTCTCTGTGCTTCTCTGGGAACCCCAAACCTCCCCCCCGGGGCTGCAGCACCTCAGCCCCTGCAACCCTGAAAGTCAGAAATAACTTTATAGCTACATTCTAAATATACAGAACTAGATCAATAAATAGAATATATATAATCATATATAAAAATATAATATATAATTATATATAGAAAATTATAATATATAATTATATATATTATATATTATTACAGATATAAATATAGAATAGATAGAATTATATAAATCTAAAACATATAAATATAAAAGTATATAATATATATAATTATATATAAATATCTATAAATATATATAAACAGAAAATATCTATATAATACATTTAAAACAGTTATATAATTATATAGAAATACAATATATATAATTATATAAAATATAAATTAATTACATATAATATTTTATATAATTATATAAAAAAGTAATATATAATTACATATAAACATAAATACACTTATAATATATAAATATTAGAATATATAATTGTATATAGACATAAACCAGCCAAGCTTTAAAACCAAGCCCTGCTCCTTTCCAGTGCAATAATCATACTATGTCAATATTATAAATTATTAGAAAATCCAGTTATTACAAAACCAGTCATCACTCCAGGGCACAAACAGGAATTTTTTGTCTTCTCACACTTTATTTTGCCAGCCTGTGCTACTCACACTTCACACCCAGGGCAGGAGAGCTCCCCCAGCCCAGGAGTTCTTTGGTTACAAAAAAAGCCTTAAAAAATTCACATCAACCCAAAAAGGGAGAAAAGCCCGGCCTAGCTGCACTCTAGAACAGGTTTACAAAATTCACATCAACCCAAAAAGGGAGAAAAGCCCGGCCTAGCTGCACTCTAGAGCAGGTTTAAAAAATTCACCATCAGTACAAAAACAAAGAAAAGCTCGGCCTAGCTGCACTCTAGAGCAGGTTTAAAAAATTCACCATCAGTACAAAAACAAAGAAAAGCTCAGCCTAGCTGCACTCTAGAACAGGCTCCACCAGCCCAGGACTAAAGTATGGCTTTAGTTTAATATTTTTGTTCAAGTAATTCCTCTAAAGAAGAGTTTAAACTGAGTTTAAACTACAGATCCAGCCTGAGGGGACTGGGAGCACCAGGATCCCGAGAGCTCCTGAGGGAGCCGGGCAGGGGATCCCAGCCCAAGCAAAAACTGAGTCTGGGTGATCCCAGCCCAAGCTAAAACTGAGTCTGGGTGATCCCAGCCCAAGCAAAAACTGAGTCTGGGTGATCCCAGCTCAAACACAAAGCAGGAGTGTGGATGATCCCAGCTCAAACACAAAGCTGAGTCTGGGTAATCCCAGCTCAGCCAATAAATACCTGTGAGCTCAGGGTGGGGAAAGGCCCCTCGTGAAGACAATAAATAACAAATATTGCATTTCCTGTCGGCCTGCGGGGGTCAGTCTGCTGGGCCCTGCTTAGGCCTGGCTCTGAGGGCCCTGCTTAGGCCTGGCTCTGAGGGACCCCTCGTTAAGGCCAGCTCCAGGGGTCCCTGGCCAGGCCCAGCTCCGAGGGCCCCTCGCTAAGCCCGGCTCTGAGGGCCCCTCGCTAAGCCCGGCTCAGCTAGGCAGGCAGAGCCCGGGGCTCCTGGGCCTGCAGCAGCTTCTTGGCAGCGATGATGGTGTTCTTCATCAGCATGGCCACCGTCATGGGCCCCACGCCGCCGGGCACCGGCGTGATGTAGCTCGCCTTCTTCCGCACCCCTGGGGAAAGCTGGGCTTAAGGGCTGGGCCAGGCTCCCCGGCCCAAAGCCACGCGGGTTCAGTTGGGATTGAGGCTTTAGGAACGGGGCCAGGTGGTTTTTCCCTGCTGGACAGCGCGGCAAGGCCCAGCCTGGGGGTGGAGGCTGAGGTGGGGAAAAGCGCCAAGCCGGGACTAAAAGCACAAGGGTCCAAAACAGCAAAAAAAGCCAGGCCTGAAATTGCTAAAAAGTCAGGCCTGGAGCCCCAGAAAGCTGGGCCCAAAAGCGCCAAGCTGGGACTAAAAGCGCCAAGCCAGGCCTGGAAGCACAAAGGTCCAAAACAGCAAAAAGCCAGGCTTAAAAACTCAAAAGATCTGAAAACACCAAAGCCAGGCCATAAAGTACCAAAAAGCTGGGCCTAAAAGCACAAGTAATGAGACCTAAATGCACAAAAAGCTGGGCCCAAAAGCGCCAAGCCAGGACTAAAAGTACAAAGATCTGCAAGCGCCAAAAAACAAGGCTCAGAAGCACTGAAAAGCTGGGCCAGAAAGCACTAAGGCCTAAAAGCCAGGCCCAAAAGCTGAGTTTTAGCACAGACATTCCAGATCCAAGCCTGGGGGTGGAGCAGAGGCAGAGACTCAACTGCTGAGGCTCAGGAGGCTCCTCTGGAGCGTCCCCACGGAACATCCCGGGACACAAAGCAGGCTTTGTCCCCTCTCAGCGCCCACAGCAGCTGCTCCTGGGCCCAAAGAGCTGCTCCTGGGCCCAAAGAGCTGCTCCTGGGCCCAAAGAGCTGCTCCTGGGCCCAAAGAGCTGCTCCTGGGCCCGTCCTCACCTTCGAAGTCCACGTCCCCCACGAGCCTGGGCCGGGCGGTGAGCGGGTCCTGCACGCGGGTGATGCCCACGTCGATCACGGCCGCGCCCTCCTTCACCATGTCGGCCGTGATCAGGTTGGGGATGCCTGGGGAGGCAGGAAGCTCAGCCCGAGGGGGTCCACAGCCCCCATCCCAAACCCCAGCACCTTCCAGCCCACCTGGGATTTCCTGCCTCCCCAAAATTGCTGGATTCAGGAATTTCAAGGGTTATTTCCAACTTCAACCATGCAAACCTATCCCCTGATCCCAGATGGGGATGTTGGCGTGTTTGAGCAGAGCTCCCGGGGATGATTTTGGGGTGCTGTGCAGGGCTCTCAGGGGGGGATTTTGGGGTGCTGTGCAGAGCCAGAGCTGCCTCCACAATCCTGCTGGGTTCCCTCCCACTCCACCCCACCCCACCCCACGCCTCCCCAGGGCTGCCCAGCTGTGCTCAGGTGCCCCTGCCAGGTGCTGCTCCCCATTCCCAAGACAGAACCCCCAAACCTGAGGCAGCTTTCTGCCCCCAGCCCCAGGAGCCCCCCAGGACATGCCAGGAGCCCTGACCTGCAGCTGCCACCACGATGTCAGCACGGATGGTGTGCTGCTTCAGCTGCTCCTTGGGCGTGTAGCGGTGCGAGATCGTCACCGTGGCGTCACCTGGGGACAGGGGACACCCAAGTGAGCCAGCTCGGAGGGCAGCCACCACACCTGGCAGCTCAGCCACCCCCAGTGGCATCAATGGGCAGGATGGGCTCTGGGGTAGTGCTGGAAACAGAGAAGTTTTCATAAAAGGCAAAATAACGAAGTTCTTACAGAGAAAAACTGAGCTAAGGGTAGGCGGTTCTTGTTCCTGCTAAAACACCCCAAAACAGGGATTTTTTCCTTTGTTCTCTTCCTTTTCTAAAGAATTTCCCAGGCCAGACCTCTTGGCCTCTGTCCAATTGGTCTGAGGTGAAGCCCCAAAGGTCCTACGAGGTGTCTTTGTAGCAAATTGGGAGAGAAACTTCTGGACTTTTTGCCTTTTTAAGCAAAGAATGATTTGGTCACTGCATCAACAAGGGGCACGTTCCCACAGGCCAGGAATTCACACCCAGCACCCAAAACCACAGCAGCCAGCACCCAAAGCCAGCCAGTCCTCTGCTTCTTCACCTCCAAGGTGCTCCTCAGGAGCATCAGGGCCTGCTGAGCCCCAGGAGCAGCCTGGAGGGACAGGAGGGATGTGGGGTGGAACAGGACAGGGATGTGGGGGGGAACACGACAGGGAGCTGCTGAAGAGGTTCAGGGGGCACCTTCTGCCTCTCCACAACTCTGTGGGGAGAGGAGGGGACAGCCAAGGCAGGGTCAGGCTCTGCTCCCAGGAGAAAAAACAGCCTCAAGCTGTGGAGGAAAAGTTTAGGGCTGGATATTGGGGAAAACCCATCATGGAAAGGTTGCAAAAGGGAAAGGGAGAGGATGAGATAAAACAGCCTCAAGCTGTGCCAGGGGAGGTTTAGGGCTGGATATTGGGAAAAACCCATCATGGAAAGGTTGTAAAAGGGAAAGGCCCCAGCCCTGGAGTGTGCAGAGCTGTGGATGTGGCTCTGGAGCTGCGGTGCCATGGTGAGCAATGCCCGGGTTTCACCACCCTGCACACCTGAACAAGTCAGGGATTCCAAGCCGTGCTGGGATCCTTGCCCCCCGGGCACGCGGGGAGCCCCAGGGGGCTGGGGCAGTGGTGGTGCCCAGGTGCCCCTGCCTACCTCCGGGGCGCTCGTGGCGGCCGTCGGTGTGCAGCAGCATGGCGATGGGCATGCCCACGTTCTTGGACCTGCCCGCCACCACCACGTTCCTGCCCAGCGTGGGGATCCCTGCAGGGCACAGAGCACAGCCTGACACTCTGCCCCGAGCGGGGGAACCGCGGGGACGGCTGATCCCACCCGGGAGCTGCAGAGAAACCCCGAAATCCCACCCGGGAGCTGCAGAGAAACCCTGAAATCCCACCCGGGAGCTGCAGAGAAACCCCGAAATCCACCCCTGGGAACCTTGCAGAGAAACCCCGAAATCCCACCTGGGAGCTGCAGAGAAACCCCAAAATCCACCCCTGGGAACCCTGCACAGGCACCCCAAAATCCCACCCCGGGAGCCCTGCAGAGACACCCCAAAACTGGGCGAGTTTTGAGCTCAGGCCACCCCAGGCCAGAGCAAAGCAGGATAATCCCTCCCTGGCCCTGATATCTCCAGGACAGGACAATTCCTTCTTGGCCCTGCTCTCCCTCCCAGGACAGGACAACCCCTCCCTGGCCCCACTGTCCCTGGTGTCCTGAGCAGGAACTCCCAGAATCCCCAGAAGCTGCAGCAGCAGCTCCCACCTGAGCAGGAATTCCCAGAATCCCCAGAAGGTGCAGCAGCAGCTCTCACCTGTCCTCTGGATGATCTCCCAGACGCCGCGGGGCGTGGCGGGCAGCATGGAGTCCTGGTCCAGGCACATCCTGCCCACGTTGAGCACGTGGAACCCGTCCACGTCCTTGTGCGGGCTCACGGCGTTGCAGACGCGGCGCTCGTCGATGTGCTCTGCACAGGGCAGGGCTCAGGGCTCTGCTGCCAGCTGTGCTGCCAGCTGTGCTGCCAGCTGGGACTGCGACAGTCCTGCCATGCAGCTCTGACCCCAAACGGGAGCTGTGACCCCAAACCTTGAGCTGGAATTGTGACCCCAAATGGGAGCTCTAACTCCAGATCCTGAGCTGCAATTGCAACCCTGAGCTGGGATTATGATCCCAGTCTCTGAGCTGGAATTGCAGCCCCAAACTGGAGCTGTGAACTTGAACCTTGAGCTGGAATTGCAACCCCAAATTGGAGCTGTGACCCTGAGCAGGAACTGCAGCTCCAAACTGCAGCTCTGACCCTGAGCTGGAATTGCAGCCCCAGACTGCAGCTCTGACCCTGAGCCCTGAGCAGGAACTGCAGCTCTGACCCTGAGCAGGAACTGCAGCCCCAGCCTGTGACCCTGAGCTGCAGCTGTGGCCCTGAGCTCAGCCCCTGCAGAGCGTGGGCCCTGGCAGCTCCCAGCACTGGAGCACTCTGCAGTGAGCCCTGCCCTCCCTGGGAGCATTCTCAGGCAGCCCAAGGCCCCCACACCCGCAGGGGAGGCTGAGACTCCCACCCAGGAACAGCAGCCAGGGACTGACCCTGCTGCTGAGGGGAGGATCAGGGCAGCTCCCCCTGGAAGCTTTCTGGGAGTGCAGAGGAGCTGAGCTGCTCACCAGGCAGGGGAAGCTGCACCAGCAGCCCGTCCACGGCCGTGTCACTGTTGAGCCTGGCAATCAGCTCCAGCAGCTCCTCCTCGCTGATGGAGGCTGGCCTCAGGATGGTCTCGCTGCTGATCCCTGCAATGGCCAGATCCACGGGGTCAGCAAGGCACAGAAGGGTGATTTCCCCAGGTTCTGTGCATTTTCTGCCCTGTTTGGCTGCCTGGCTAAATCTGGGAGGTGCACACCGAGGATGGAAGGGTTTGTGCAGCTCCCAGGCCTTGGGGTTTGTTGTTGAGGATGGTTTTATGGGGCTGGTGGCCTGGGAAAGGGGCTTTGGGACCCTCCCAGAGCAGGGACAAACACAAGCAAAGGCTGCTGCCACGAAAATAAAACCACATGGCCTGAGAGGCCTCTGGACACAGCAAAAAAGGGATGTTTGCCTCAAAATCCCAGCTCCAAAAGCAGCCTCAGCTGTTCAGACCCAGGTTAAGTGACACCATTTACTGCCCCTGACCCCGAGCAGGACCCTGGACTGCAGGATGGAAGGAATCAGAGAGCAGCGAGGCTGCTGAGCAGGATCTGTCCCAGGCAGATGGGAAAAGGAGGCCAAAAACTCCCTCCTGTGCTTTTCACGGCTCTGGGAAAGCTGAAAAACCCCAATCCTGCCCTGAAGGACCCAAGTGATCACATCACCACACTCCAGTACAAGTGGGCAGCCACAGAACCCAAATTCCGGGTGATGCCAGGAAGCCAACAGGTGGGTGCACCCCAAAAAAACCTTCCAGCATCGAGGACTCCCAACCAAACTGCGTTTTTAGATAAAAAACCCTCCCACTCACCCACATCAGCCGCCGCTTTGGTTTTGTTGAGGACGTAGGAGTGGCTGGCCGGGTTCTCCCCCACCAGCACCACGCTCAGGTGGGGCCTCCGGTTGCCGGCAGCCACCCACTGCTGCACCTCGTGCCGCGCTTCCTGCCGGATCTGCCGGGCCAGCTTCCTCCCCGAGATCACCACGGCGTCCTCCCTGCGCGGGGAAGGGGTCAGCGCAGCCCCGACGGAGCAGCAATCCAGGGGGAAAGGGTCAGCACAGCCCCGACGGAGCAGGACACCGGGGGGAAAGGGTGAGCACAGCCCGGGCAGGATGGAGCAGCAATCCAGGGGCAAAAGGCTCCATCCCCTGTGCTCTATCAGGGCCTTCGGCACCTTTGTGCTCGGTCACGTTTCCAGCATCAAAGCCGGGACCAAACGGGGCAGGATCAGAATATCCCGAGCTGGAAGGGACCCACCAGGATCACTGATTACAGCCCAAAATCCTGCCCTGTGCAACCATGGGAATGTTGGTTAAATATTGTTTGGAGCAGGGTGGGATGCTCGGGGCTCTCTGTCCCTGTCACCCCAGGGAGTGCTCAGGGTGGTCTCTGGGCTCTCTGTCCCCCTCATGCCAAGGGATAACCAAGCAGAGGGGGTGCTGGTCTCCTCCTTTCTCACTCGGGGGGTCTCTGTTCCTGTTATTCTGGGGAATGGCCGAAGGGTCTGTGTCCCCTCACGCCGGGGTGTCTCCGTTCCCCTCACGCCGGGGCAGCCCCGCCGTGAGGGGATCCCGCTCCCCGAGCCGGGCAGCCCCGCTCTCCCACGCAAGGCGGCCGCGGGATTTCATCAGCCTGCAGCTCCGGCCGCGGCCGCTGGGGGCCGGCCCGTCATCCCCGGAACCGCCGGGGCCAAACGAGCCGCGACCCCGGCCCGGGGACCGCCCGAACCGAACCGAACCGAGCCGGGCCGGGCCGGGCCTCCCCCCTCACAACCCTGCGGGCCCAGGCGGAGCGCGGCGGGCGCTGCTCCCACCTCCCTCCCGAGCATCCCCGCACATGCCCCGGTGTCCGGCCGTACCGGGCGGCGCTGAGGTGCAGGCGGCGGGCGCGGGGCTCCAGCGCGGCGCGGCTGAGGGAGCGGAGGGGCCGGAGCGCGGATGCCATAGCAGGATGGAGTGTGACAAGTGCAGCGAACACCACTGAGGGGAGCGCCCCTAGCCGCCCTATATATAGCTGGTAAGCCCCGCCTCCCCGGCGGCAGCCAATGGGGCTCAGCCCCGGCGATGATTGATTGGGGCGCTCCGCTCGGTGGCGGGAGCGCGGCCGCAATGGCGGACCCGGGGCGAGCACGGGCGGACGGGACCCCGCGGGGGGATGGCTGGGACGTTCGGTGTCACCGGGCACGGCCCCGCTGGGCACGGCCCCGCTGGGCACGGCCCCGCTGGGCACGGGCTGCAGGCACCGAACGTGCGCTGGGCCCAGCCCCGCCGTGGGCAGCAGCGCCGGGGGCTCTGCCCGCTCAGGTGAGAGCGCACCTGCAGGGCTGGGAGCGCACCTGGAGCGCGGGGGCTGCTCTGGAGCCGGGCTGGGAGCGCGGCCGCAATGGCGGACCCGGGGCGAGCACGGGCGGACGGGACCCCGCGGGGGGATGGCTGGGACGTTCGGTGTCACCGGGCACGGCCCCGCTGGGCACGGCCCCGCTGGGCACGGGCTGCAGGCACCGAACGTGCGCTGGGCCCAGCCCCGCCGTGGGCAGCAGCGCCGGGGGCTCTGCCCGCTCAGGTGAGAGCGCACCTGCAGGGCTGGGAGCGCACCTGGAGCACGGGGGCTGCTCTGGAGCCGGGCTGGGACGGCCGGGAGTGCTCACATGGAGAAGGGAAATTCCAGGGAGAGCTGGGAATGTTCAAATGGAGAATGGAGAGCTGGGAATGCTCCCCTGGAGAAGGGAAGCACCCAGGGAGATCCCCAGGCAGAGCTTCCAGCACGTTCAGGCCCCGAAGGGGCTCCAGGAGAGCTGGGGACGGACCCCCAAAAACCCCTCCCCATGGGCCCAGACATGACAGAAAGAGACAAAACTCCAGGAAAACTCTCCTTGGAAACAGCTCCCAGCATGGACAATCCCCCCCAGTCCTCTCCCAGCCCGGGGGGCACCAAACTCCCCTGGGGATCTGTCCTGGCACAGCTCAGAGAGGCACACACCACCGGATCAGCCCAAAAAAGAGACAAAAGTCCTCTCCTAGCCCGGGGGCCACCAAACCCCCCGGGACCACCCCTGCTGGGTGGGCAGTCCCTGGGGAGGTGCAGGGCTGGGACCCGGGCAGCTCCTGGCAGGGAGGGCGATGCCAGCCCAGCCCTGAGTGCCCAGGGCAGCCCCAGGCAGCCCCGGAGGCAGGACACGACATGCAGGGGTGGCCACATGCTGGGCAACGGGGAGGGGACCCCAGAAACGAGGAGGGGACCCCCAAAAACGAGGAGGGGGCTCTTCCAGTTCATCCAGCCGGGAAAAGCAGCAGCAGCATCCAGAGGGGCTCGTCCTGGCCCAGGGGGGCTCGTCCAGGGGGGTTCTGGTGGCCACAGCTGGATGATGGCCACTGGGAAGTCTCTGCACCCCTCAGCTGGGCTGGCACTGTCCCCATGCCAGGGATTTGGGGGTCCTTGATGCCCTGGCATGGGTGGCAATGTGGGTGTGGCCGGTACTAGCCAGGGTGGGCTCGTCCAGGGGGGTTCTGGTGGCCACAGCAGTGAGAGAAGAGCTGGGAAGTCTCTGCAGCCCTCAGCCAGGCTGGCATCGTCCCCGTGCCAGGGATTTGGGGTTCCCTGCCACCCTGGGACATGGCCAGGGATGTGGCCACCACTAGCCCAGGAGGGGGCTCGTCCAGGAGGGTTCTGGTGGCCACAGCAGTGAGAGAAGAGCTGGGAAGTCTCTGCAGCCCTCAGCCAGGCTGGCATCGTCCTCGTGCCAGGGATTTGGGGCTCCCTGCCACCCTGGGACGTGGCCACTACTAGCCCAGGGGCTCATCCAGGAGGGTTCTGGTGGCCACAGCAGTGAGAGAAGCGCTGGGAAGTCTCTGCCAGGGAGCTCCAGCACCCCTCAGCTGGGCTGGCACGGGTGGCAATGGGGATGTGCCCACCACTAGCCCAGGGTGGGGCTCGTCCAGGGGGCTCTGGTGGCCACAGTGGGATGGTGGCAGCTGGGCAGTCTCTGGTGGCCACAGCAGTGACAGAAGCGCTGGGAAGTCTCTGCCAGGGAGCTCCAGCACCCCTCAGCCGGGCTGGCACCGTCCCTTGGGGGTCCCTGGCACCCTGGCACGGGTGGCAGAGGGGCCGTGGCCCCCCGAAGTGCTTGCGGCTCTGCTCCTGCCACTTGTTGTAGAGGATGATGCCGATGACGATGGCGAAGACGAGGGCCACCAGCGAGAAGAAGACGATGAGGAACAGGGCCAGGCCACTCATGGGCTCCAGGGGCGCCTCCACTGCGGGAACGGGGATTTGGGGTTTGGGGGTTTTAGGGTTTGGGGGTTTTGGGACTCTCAGATGGGATTTTGCCACTCACTTCCCGGCAGCCTCAGGTTGTCCACCACGGGCAGGAAAACTTCCCGATCCCGTTTTTCCTCCTCCGGCGTCCGCTCCACCGTCAGCTGGTACAGCTTCAGCGAGATGATGTCGTGGTTGTCTGCAAAAAACCCCAAAAACGTTTTATCCCAGCTCATCCCAAGGCTTTATTCCATGCTAATCCTGGAATCCCACCTGGAGCCCCAAAACCCACTCGGGAACCCCAAATGCACCCGAGAACCCCACCTGACCCCCGTAAATCCCCTTGGGACCCCCAGTGGCCCCAGGCTGTACCTGACAGGTCCCCAGTGACCGAGGACGTCCCAAAGTAGTAGCCCCGGGGCAGGCGCACGCCGGGCACGTCGATGCAGTCCCGCCACTCGTGCTTGCCGTCAATGTCGATCAGCACCTGCGAGGAACAGCCTGAGCCTCTCCCAGCGCCTACAGCTGGCTTAAAAGCTAAAACTGGGCTTAAAATTCAGGTTTGGACTCGGAGCATGTTGAGGATCTGAGGTTAAAATTGGAGGGTTTGAAGGTTTTAGTGTTGGTAGGTACTGGCGCTCAAGAGGACGCTGCGCTGGAGAGGAAGGCGTGGAAAAAAATCCCAAATCCACTCTGAATCCCACCTGGGACCCCCAAATCCACTGGGGAATCCCATCTGGGGACCCTAAATCCACTCAGGAATCCCAAATCCACTTGGCAATCCCATCTGGAGACTCCAAACGTACCGTGAGCCTCCTCTTGATGTAGCGGATGACCAGGCAGGTGTCGTGGTTGAGGTTGCGCACCATGGCGGTGCAGCACTTGGGAACCCCAAACCCACCTGGGAATCCCACCTGGAACCTCCAAACCCACCCAGATCCCACCTGGAGCCCCCAGGTCCCACCTGGAGCCCCCAGACTGACCGTGAGCCTCCTCTTGATGTAGCGGATGACCAGGCAGGTGTCGTGGTTGAGGTTGCGCACCATGGCGGTGCAGCCGCCCAGCTCGGTGGGGCGCCCGTCGCGGTCGTGGTCGTAGGTCAGCGAGCCGTTGTTCACCATGGCCGAGATGTAGGGGAACACGCGCTGCCCGGGGGGGGAAAGCTGGCGTTGGGATCCTGGAGGAGGTCTGGGATCGCGGGGAGACGCCGGGAAGGGGAGGTGGGCTGGGGCTGAAGTTGTTCGATGGAAGAGCAGAGTGATCCCAAAGCTCTCCAGCTGCGACCCCAACGGCCTTCAGGCAATGAGGGAACGATCCCAAAGTCCTCCAACCAACACTGGAATGATCCCAAAGTCCTTCACCCCACAGAGATCTGCTCAACACAACACGGGAATGATCCCAAACTCCTTCACCCCACAAAAACCTGCCCAATGCAACACCAGAGTGATCCCAAAGTCCTCCAACCATGATCCCAAAGTCCTTCAAGCAATGAGGGAACGATCCCAAAGTCCTCCACCCCACGGGAGTCAGCTTGGTGGAAGAGCAAAGTGATCCCCAGGTTCTCCAACCACGATCCCGAAGTCCTACAACCAACACTGGAATGATCCCAAGGTCCTTCAAGCAACATGGGAAAGATCCCAAATTTCTCCAACCAACGGGGGAATGATCCTGAAGTCCTTCACCCCACAGAGATTTGCTCAACACAACACTGAATGATCCCAAAGTCTTTCAACCACACTGGAACGACCCCAAAGTCCTTCATCCCAAATGATCTGCTCAGAAACCACCAGGATGGCCCCAAACTCCATTCCTGGTGATCCCAAACCCCCAAAATCTCCTCAGAAACCACCGGGATGACCCCAGACTCCGTCCCCCAGCATCATCTCCCGCCGGGGCGGCACCGAGCCCCCGTTCCACGCAGCCTCTCCCGGCTCCCCGGGGTTCCTGGATGTGGGAACGGGGAATCCCAGTGGGACAGCAGGAGGCAGTACCTGGTTTCCAGGGCTGTACCTCCTCTTCTGGGCCTGCCCTCCAGGATTAGCACAAAGCAAGAGAGAGCAACACGGTCACCGAGCCCAGCAGGACCCAAAATCCCGGGAAATCCCCCCGGAACAGAGTCCAGCAGGGCCCAAAATCCTGCAAGTTTTGCTTTTTCTCCTTTTTGGAGCTCTTTTTGGTCTTTGGAGCTCTTTTTGACCTTTTGGATCTCTTTTTGGGGTTTTTTGAAGCTCTTTTAGGCCTTTTTGGAGACTTCATTACTTTTTGGAGCTCTTTTTGATTTTTTTGGAGCTCTTTTTGATCTTTTAGATCCTCCATGTCTTTTTGGAGCTATTTTTGACCTTTTGGAAGATCTTTATGACCTTTTGAAGCTCTTTGTGACCTTTTTGGAGCTCTTTTTGTCCTTCTGGAGCTCTTTGTGACCTTTTTGGAGATCTTTTTCATTTTTTGGAGCTCAGCTGGAAAATTCTCTCCCAATTTCCCTGACCAAAAAAAATGTGGAAGAGGCATGGGAAGAGGAGGAGAAGGAGGAGGAGGAAGGAGCTCTGAGCATGAAGAGCTGCGTGTGACACTGGTGGCTCTCACCTCCTGCTGCTTCTCCTCGTTGGGATACGTGTCCACGAACACCCCCAGCCCCAGGAAGTTGTCCTTGCTCCCAAAAACAGGTCCTGGAAGGGGAGAAGAAAAGTTGGGATGAGGTTGGGAAGCTCAGGGAGGAAGTCTGTCACTTGTTTGG